TCTTTCCCTCCTTCCATCCCCCCTTAAAAAGGGAGAGAAAAAAGACAATAGAAGAGAAGGCTCTGAAGAGCAAAACAAGCACTGAAAGAGTTCTAGAGTTCATGTAACACGACCACTATAGCCCTTCAAAGAGACCATTAAAAGCAAAACAAACAAAAGCAACACCCTCAAGACGTCTATTGTATTTTACAGAGGAACAAATGAGTGTACTGGAAATTCTCCCATCCTGCCACAAAGTCTGTTATTTCATCAAAACAAAGCCCAGAGATCAAGAAACAGTCAACATGGTAGCTGCAAGTCAGTCACTTCAACCGATCCATGAAGAAAACGAGATGAGGCTTGCTCTTTTTTTTCTCCCCCCCCCCCCCCCCGCTTTACTATGATGTATTAAAAAGAAGACTTCAAAGATTGTTTTAAGCGTTGCTTTTGTTTCTCACATGAGAAAGCCAGGCCTTGAGCAGGTCTAGACAACACAGTGGTTAAAACATCACTAGCTGCCAACACTTTGTCTTCCTAGAGCTCCCACAGTTGTTGCCACCCTGGAACTGCCTCATTTGAAAATATTTGACAATTTCTACCTACTGTTTTGCTTCTCTGAGATGGCAGCTGTGAAACAGAGAGCACACAAGCATCCCCAGCAGGCAGTTTCAGAAGCCAGAAGCTCACTGAGGTGGATATCAGCCCAATGTTTCTGCCTGATGCTTCAAAGCATCCGTTTCTTATTTTCTTTTTCCTCTTTTTAACACTTAGCAGATCTTCTCTCTGTGCTTTCAGATTATCTTATCACCTGTGGGCTTTACTTGGAGGGTGGCTAACACATTACATTAGCTTTCATACTGTGCATATGGAAAGGTAAGAAAGTCAGGGAAACATAGATTTTTATCCCATCTGCATGTTGTCACCACTACATTTACCAAATCCCAAAGAGTTATGCTCAAGAAGATCTGCTGAAGACAATGTAACTGAACAGGTGTTCCTGAAGGCAAAGTTTGGCCGGCAGGATAAAGCCTGATTAATTTAGCTATAGAGTATCAGGAATGAGAATCCTCTGGTTAAATGAACCTGTAAAATCAGAGGTCAACTAAGATTCACACATGTTACAGCCATTTCTAAGCTGTTACACCAGAGCCACCCACTAGCGATAGGAAAAAGCCATGAAGACAAACCCATCGCAGCGCTGAATTTCCCACACTAGGTCCATCAGCTGCCGTGCAGGCACAGAAGACTTGCCTGTGGCTCGGTCCCTGCCCCGGGGACAAACGTGAAAACACACTGGGACAGGTTCTTTTCATCACAGCAGCTAACAGGGCTCAATCTTGCCTACCTTCCTTCTAGGGTAATCCCTAAACTCAGGCAGGAGAGGCTCATCTTTCCACGGGCGCACAGCACCTCCCTCGCATTTGGTAGCGGGACGATGTCTAAGGAAAGAAAACACCTGCCCGCAGCCGAGCAGACACACCAGAGGCATTTTTTTTTTCACAGAAGAGATTAGCTGAGAGCAAACCCCAGATGTTTGCATCCTTGACTTACACGGTCCACATGGATGAATTTCCCAGCTCTCACATGGTTGCCCCACGGGTGACTAATCTCACAGAGGTGAAAGCCTGACTCAGCCTGTGACCTACAAGGGTCGGCCTCTCAAGCAGCCAGCAGAGCTTTCCACAGAACGTGCCAGACAATGTGTGTCTAAAAAAAACTAAAATCGCTGTAAGGAAGAGCATAAAGAGCAACAAGCCATCATTCCTTCTTCTAATAATTGATGCAAATTATGTTGTGCAGGAAGCTCAGCTAGTCTGGCATATTTAATAAATTCATCCAATTCCCCAGTGCAGTTTAATGGCCTATCTAGCATAGATTCTCTAATTAATCTTTTGAGACCTCAAAAGACAGCGGAGGTTTTGCACCTTATATGCAGAAGAATGTCATGAAGTCCTGAGAGTCTCTTCCACATACTCTGTTAATCCATTTGGGACTCAGTCAATGAGACTAACATCTTGTTTAGGGGCATAAGTCTACCACTTCCGATTCAGAGATTCAGAACTACACCAATACTGGCTTCATTTCATGGAGAGTTAACTTTTAACCCATTCCTTTTCTTTCCCTGGAATTTTTCACAATAAAGGCATCAGACAAGCCTATAAACTGGTTGCAATGATGGAAAGAATAATAAAATACTGCTCCCCGAGTATTGCAAAAGCTGCTTTTCCTCTTCCCTTCTCATCCTACTTCATCTTTAACCATCACTTTTAGTTCACAGTTATTTTTCGCCGTCCCAAGTTCAGTTTCTGTTACTAGGACTCATAAGCTTACTTCTGAAGGATGGATCTTTTAATGACAAGTTCTTCATCCAAGTCAGCTTCGTTAGCCATGAAGAGCAATCTTTTTCCTGTGTCATCCAGTCCAATGAAGTCGCGCTGTTCCACTGAAGTAGAAAATCAAAGACAATCATTATGTAACTCTGTCTTAATGCAGGCTGGAAAGTCAAACAGGAGCACCACACACCGCCAAAATACGGAACACTAGATTTCACACTAACCCAGCAAATCAATGACTTTGCGAATCCACAATATTTATCACTTCTTTTCAGTCAAAGTAGCTGATGTACATCATGACATTCAAAACACGGGCCCTGCATGCTTTTTGCATCCTTTTTATGAAGATGCCAATTATAGGTCCTGACATGCAACACCCCATCTTGAGCTGTGCTTTCCTTTTCCATCTTTTTTTTTTTAATTAATAAATAAATCACAAACTACTACTTGAATTTACACAACAACAAAACCAAGTCAAGCAGAGAGTTCTTGAAAATCCAACATAAATCACTACATACTAGAATTAAGTGGTCTGGAGAGAATTATGATTTCAGCTAAGACATAACTACTTTGCAACTACTTTTAGATAAATACCGATAGTAACAGAAAACCTAAATGTACACATACGTACATAAGAGTATGGATTTTAAGACTGCTACCACTGATGTTTCTGGGTGGTTTAATGTGGTATAAATATCTACTTATAAAACTGCCAACCAAGAGAATACTTACTAATCATCTATATTACTGTGGCAATTCCTATCTCCTGCAGCCAGTGATTGTGCATCAGCAGTGGCTTTGGTCTACTGAAATGTAAAGTATTTATTTTTTAATAGTTTTCCACAACATCTGAATACAGTGGTGGCAGCTTATTCTACCTTGTGCTTTGCAGTACGAGCTACCATTCTGGCGGCAACCATACACTGATCTTCACAGGAACACGGGCTGTACAAGGATGCCATACTACAGTTCTAACGAAAAATCCTCTTTTCTCCCATTAAATGCTATTATTTGGGGCCAAACTAGCAAATATTCAATCTCCTAAATTCTAAACCTTTAACCACAGTGGAGTAACAGCATTCTCTGTAAGTAGTTAATTCTCTAAGATCTTTTCTCAGCCAAATTAGATTTAACCTTTTTTCCCTACTTCAGCCCCACCCCTTCTTTTACTTTTGCCTGTTCCAGCAGAGTTACCCCTGCAATAATCACTATCAAAATACGGTCAGAGCTACGCAGCTGTTGAAAGTTCTCCTACTGACAGTCTTTGATCCAAGTGACCAGGCATACCCTCTTCAGAAATCCCCCCCATCTCTTCTCACAAATTAATCACACAGCAAAGAAGTCCGAAAATAGGTCCGTATCACTATGACAGATGAAGTACAATCAGGAGAAAGATCACTTGCTATAAAAACTCAGAAAGGTGTGACCAGCAGGAGGAGGGAGGTGATCGTGCCCCTGTACTCGGCACTCGTGAGACCTCACCTTGAGTACTGCGTCCAGTTTTGGTCACCACAGTACAAGAAGGACATCGAGGTGCTGGAGCGGGTGCAGAGAAGGGCAACAAGGCTTGTGAGAGGTCTGGAAAACATGCCCTATGAAGAGCGGCTGAGGGAACTGGGTTTGTTTAGTCTGGAGAAGAGGAGGCTGAGAGGAGACCTTATTGCCCTCTACAACTACCTAAAAGGAGGCTGTAGTGAGGCTGGTGCTGGTCTCTTCTCTCTAATTACTAATGACAGGACAAGGGGAAATGGCCTCAAGTTGCGTCAGGGTCAGTTTAGATTGGATATTCGGGGGAAGTTCTTTACTGAACGAGTGGTGAGGCACTGGAACAGGCTGCCCAGGGAGGTGGTGGAGTCACCAGTTTAAAAAAAAAGTAGATCTAGCACTTGAGGCTGTGGTGTAGTGGTTAGGTGTGCTGGGATGAAGGTTGGACTAGATGATCTTCAGAGGTCCCTTCCAATCCCAAACATTCTGTGATTCTGTGAAATAATTCAGGGAAGTGGTGCCGATTCATGTGTTAATCAATTGTTGCCACCGTCACCTATCTGGGGTCTCCTGATAGCCCAGAAACACAACAGTGACCGATCTCCCACCATTGAGGTACTAACACTCTCTCAAAGTTCAAGTCGTGGCTGTCCATCCTACAGTAACATAACATATCACGCTGCTACAGAAAAGCTCTGTGCAGTGAGGGAAAAAAAAGAAAACTTGATGAGAACAGCACCAGGTATATGACTGCCATCAAACCGGTTTCTCTTACTTGTGTGGATGGGTAAGAAGCAGACAGTGAAACTATGTGAGTTTTTTTTGCAGCAGATGCCAGGTCAGTTTTTTTGCTGTCCATTTGCAATAAACAGCATTACTTTTGTAATTTAGAAAAGACAAAACTCATCACTAAAACCAGTTACCCAGAGATACAAGAATGCTGTTTCGAATCACACTGGTATTACTTAGTGATGAAAAAAAATAAATGGAAAAATGAATACATAATTAGTTTACAAAATCCCTGCAAGGGAAGTATGAGAAAAATGTTAAAGCTGCAGTGATGGTAACTAAAAAATTGTTTAAAGTATAAAAATGGAGTGCAGGATGTGTTTTGCCTCTTCATGACAGATAAATAAGGATTTAATACAGCTATTGCAATTTGGGAACTCCGTCAATTTTAATGACCTCAAGAAATCCTGACATCACAAGAGAATGGAAGTTGAAGAATTCAGTGATGAAGAGAAAAAAAAAATTCAATTAGATTTTCTAAAATGCTTTTTAATCAAACATAATTAATTGACACTTGGGAAAAAGACACCTTTTTTAAAGACTCGGCATCCCCGCCCTTTCAGTTAAAGGGAGAGAATTCACACGATGCAGCCTGCAAGACCACCAAGAGGTCTTCTGGCAAACACAGGGAATACCAGTGATGACACGCCTGCTGCTTTCAAGACAAGAAAAACAAGCAGGAAAGAGTCACCATCCCCATCTTTTCTGCCTTTCTTTATACACAGAAAGGTACAGACACTCTTTTACACTCACTGCCTTGCAGGTCATCTTTAAGCATATGGCTCCATTCTGGGTGTCCGAATTCCTGATGCTCTGTTTATTTGTGCTACTACCATTCTGCTTTTTTTTTTCTTTCTTTTTTATTTTCTATTGCCATGTTTCTTACTGATCAATTAAGAAAGCCAATAATCCAATGAGATTATTGTTCATACCTGATCCCCTAAATATAAAAGCCAATGAACCTCACCCTGTAATTTGCATCTGAATTATAAAAAGCATTTCAGGAAACTGTCAGTGTGAATTTATAGCTGCTTTTCACATAACACTGCAATTCATGCTGATTTAAAAAGTCTTCCTTATATCACAGCTCTTGAGTGTTCAATAATAACCCAAAAGCACCAACTTCGTATCTTATCCTGCGACATATGCAAAATAGAAGTCCTGCTGCTCTGTCTCAAGAAATGAATTAATTTGTAGGCACAGTGAAGCAATAAAGCTGCAAACATATCTAGTGGCTCATCAGGACTAAGGATCCGTTTCCTAACGCTAATGCTTGAACAGTACAGTGCGGGTTCATAGAAACCTACATGTGCCACGGATTTAGAGAAGGAGCTAATAGTACCACACTATGAAAAGCTGCCTAACACATTCCATGTTAATATCTCGTCCTCAGTTGTTTATAAGCTTCAACAAATTTTAACTGTCATCAAAGGTCTTCTGGACCATCAGGTGACACAAGCCATGAGGCTCCACGGCCATGCTGTGATGACTGCTCCAAGCCAGGAGCTTGGTCTGTTTTGGTTTTGCATCCTGTTTTTTACAAGGAAATAAAACTCATAAGATCACATGGGTGAGCGGAAAGAAAAGCATAAAAAGGAGGACTCTGCAAGATGGGCTGGAAGGGAGAGAAAACAGTCTCTGAAAACTGGTGGAAGTTGGGACTGTCTGTGAAAGGACACTGGACCTTAGAGACAGGAATTGGAAGAGAAGAAAAACGTGTCTGTGGGCAGATAAATCAAGCAGGTCAAGATCAGAAGTCAGAAGCCAAACAGGGAATGGAACTGGTAGTAAAAGAAGAGAGTAATATATAAGAAAGAAAAGCTGGACTCTCGACAAGGATCCTTGACGGAGGAGATCAAGCAAAGAGAACAAGAATGGAAGCTGGTAGTGGCAAGAAGTCAGGATGGGAAAAGGGATTGGGATGAGCTAGGATGACGTCGAGAGCAAAGGGGTGCATTCAGTCAAGCAGGAACAAAAGGCAGGAGGGTCTGATGCTTCTTAAAATGTACTGCCCCTCTCCAGAACACGGAGAACACCACAAAATTCCTGTCTCTGCATTCCCCTGCTTTTAGCGAATGACAAAAAGGTCTGCTAGGGTTCATGTCTCATGTGAGGCAGTTCACAGAAAACAATTTATTAGAGCTACCCAGGACAGCTCAAGTAGAGTAGTTTTGAGTGGGAGACGTTAGCATCCAGCCCCATAGAAAAACACTGTGAGTGTCAAAACACTTCCATGTAATGGAAATTTAATGTTTTCAAGTTTGGTCCTTCACAGATGTGAGAAATCATACACAAATTTTAACAAGTCATGTAGGAAGAGTTAGGTCAAGCACATAGACACTAAAAAATGACCGTTTCTTAAAATGTGCAACTTGATGTGTTTACATTTGCAAGGAGTCTTCAGATGATCTTGTTTATCCCTACAGACTCCTCACCCTCAGCCTGTATACTCAGAGCTCATGGACTGGGCCGCTCTATGATGTTTAGTCACAGACCCATTAGTTTCTAACTCCTGAATGCTCAACTCTGTGGCTGTAGCTCTCCTGATAACATTTGTGTGCCATTATCACTTAGATTGCCTTTTCAAAACCAGGAGAGTTTAGAGATGTTTGACAGTCCAAGTTCTAAATGCTTTCAGCCCTACTAACCTTACACTTCACTCCAGAAAAATCTTTTAATGTAGAGTCTCAGCAGCTTTCTTTTAAAAACACATTTCCTCCACTTTCAGACACACACATAGTCCAACTGCTGGTTTGCATTTCACTCTCCTCTCCAACAGATCGAAGCTACACTTTCTTATTCATACGACTGTAATGCCTCTGAGCTTTAATCATGGACCAGGACCCACTAAGCAGGCAATAACGAAACCTCAGCAATTTAAGAGATATCATTAAAAGAAAATGAGAGGTATGATATGGGAACAATGATATGGGGTTTAGTACTTTTAGCATGCAAGTAAAACGGGGATAATAGCCCTGCCCTGCCTTACAGCGGTGTTGTGAGAATAGATACATGAAAGATTACAAGGCACTAACTAAGAGATTATGGTAAGAGGGACAAGATAAGCATCTAACCAAGTCCTTGAAATCAGTGGGAGTTTTGCCTAGCAAAAGGCTCCTGGATGTGATCTCGGAAGAATACTTCAGTACACACACCGTGAGAGGGGAGAATTTCTACAGGTATTTGTTACTCCCCTAAAGGTGGTCCCTCAGTCAATGGTAAAATTCCCAGCTATAACCTGGCTGATGTTTAGTGCTCTTGAAAAGCCTAATGGTCTTAATGTTCATATGTAACAAAAATTTAGGGTTTGATCCAAAACTCACTGAAGTCACCTGGAGCTTTTCCCTTAACTCTTGTGAGCTTTGGATCAGAGCCCGCAAGATTACGCGAGGCTAATACTTAATTCTGAGCTGGAAAAAACCAAGTCACACCCCCACTAGGGAATCTGAAGAAAAATAGGGTATCTGTGCCTTTTTCACTTCTTTCACTCTGGGACTGACAGCTGAACATATCATACACACCAGTGGTTTCTCTATCATTTATTAATAAATAAATTTATTCCTATCTACATACCTGGCTTTTTTTTCCCTTTCTGTCCCGGTACTGCTTCTGTGGGTTCATGAGTTTTCTTCATCAACATGGAGAGAGTAGCATCGTGTGTCCGAAAGAGATCCACAACTTTATATAAATCAACATCTGTGATCAGATCGCAGCTCAACACCAAGACATCAGTCTGTCAAAGAAGAAGAAAAACCCAAACCCTTCAGAGATACAAATGTATTAGCATTTGACGACTCAACTACAAAGAGACCCATAACTTTTTTTTTTCCCCTCCAAAAAAACACAGGGTCTGCTATAGTCCACCAAAAATACTAGTTTTTATCAGTTCACTTTTCTTAAGTCCTGCTGTTACTGAGTTATTTGGTTAATCCTTGCCCAGCTCTGGACCGTAAAGAACACGTGACCATCTAAACTGCTGTCATCTGGTCCTGAGGGAAGGATCCAGAAGCCACGGCTTTCAAAACCACCACAAAATTCTGCTGTATTTAAAACCACTACTTTTAGTTACATAATGATGTAGAAAAGAAATCTTTCTGAATAAATCTTTTTTAGCTGACTTCGCATCTGGCTACAAACCACTGGAAAAGATATTTAAACTATGTTATTTTATCAGGGCAAAGAAAAGCAAAGACTATCTAGGATGTGATTTACTCAGTAATTGCACTGCGATGGTGGGCTTGGTTTAGAAATATATTTCATAAAACCAGCAATACTCCATGTAAAAAAAAAAAAAATGAGGAAGTTAGGTCCTGTTTAATAACAGGCTTGTATTTAATTTTGATCTCAAAGGATTCCAAAGTGCCTTACAAAGAGAACTGCTGCATATATCACAGAAACATTGTCACATACTGAGTGAGACATAACGGCTTCATTAACTACGTACACTATCAATATACTCTAGCTAAAAATTCTTAGTTAGAAACAATTTTCTGTATTTCACATGGGTTGTGGAATATACTGCCAAAAATCTACTAGTGTGGCAATTACATCCATTTGAACTGATCCTAACATAATATTTGTGCAGCACAGCCTACAGAAAAGCAGCAAGTTTCCACTTTTTGTTAATGATCAACCTTCTAAACAAGTCTCAAGAAGACAGTGTTTTATTCTTGACATTTACCATTTTCATTTTCTGTGCTACCATTCAGATGGTAAACCTCCCTGCAGAGCTCGACAGGCTTCCTAGTTCTGTCTTTTAAAAAAGCCATTATTTAATAAGAAGGGCACTTCGTAAAACCCGAGTTAACGCATGGAGGATCAGTAATTCTGTTTTCACTTTTGAAACTTATCTTAGTGCAAAGCAAACTAGTTCAGCATTGACCTTTTATTACAGCAAGGTTTACTACAGAAATGTTTGCTTTACAGGCTTTATCTAACACTAGGAAATTCCACATCGTAGGTGAGACTGAAGCCTGGTATTTACATTATTTGACAGGTTCTCCCGCAAATGCCAGGCAGTTTCACGTGTTTACCAATAAGTCATTGGAATTCATCACGTCACAAACGGTTAGAGCCGCTGATTTGGCACGCTGGGCAAAAGGTCAAGCTCTTCAATTCACATTTGATTTCTCCCTACTTTACTGAGAAACACCTGGCTGCTTTACAGTTAGGAACAACGTGCAGGGTGCAAATTTTTCACATCGAAAACCTGCCTTGCATTGCCCCTTTCCACGTTATTTTCAAACCGTGTATTTTATATTACAGTTTTGCCCAGAAGAAGTGCTTTAATTATCACTTCTCTAAAACAAACAACATGCACCCATTGGAAAAAAAAACCCAAACCACTAAAGCAAGCTGCTCAGCACTCTGGAGCAGCCCTGCTCCAACATTCCAGCGTGTACAAAGCAAGTAAAAAAAAAAGTCAACTTGGGGTGGAAATAAAACTCCCACTTTGTAACTGTAAATAGTGAAGAAACACATATTAAATATCCTTGAAAATGCTGCAAAATTTTCAGATATTCTGTTTTTACAAGAGCACAAGCGAGTTATAATATCTGCAGAAAAGGCCAAAAAGGTATCAAAGACCCATACTTTTCAAACTCAGTATGTGGAAGGAAGAGACTGCTGGCTTCAAATCTAAATGTGTTCACTCCAGTGGTGAAAATAAGAAATAATAATAAAAAGAGAGAGACAGGCACACCGATGGACTTATCCAAAAGATTTGTGAAAATAAGAAAAAATAATAAAAAGAGAGAGACAGACACACCGATGGACTTATCCAACAGACTTGTGAAAATAAGAAATAATAATAAAAAGAGAGAGACAGACACACCGATGGACTTATCCAAAAGACTTGTGAAACAGACCTCGTAATTATTTCATGTTTTACAAAATGCTTTAATTTGCGACTATAGCAAAAAAACCCGGCGAGCATTTCATAGTTGGGAACAGGCTCGTGGGTTTTTTCTCCTCACTATAGGACAAGCTTTTTGCAAGAACTGAATGCAAGACCCCTGAGGAGCCTACGGGAACAGAACCACCAAATGTCTGGTTGCCATCTGTTCTACCCATTTACTCTCCCAATATGTAAATAAACGTCAGCGAGCGCGGGGACCAGTGAAACACACGGTTGCTCTGTAAAGTCCACATTTCAGCCTCTCCTCCTGATGAGCAGAGCAGCAGCCTCAGAAGCACGCTGAGAATACACCATGAAAGGCTCTTTTGGGACTTGACAGCCTCCCCTTTGAAACACCACCCCCCTCATAAATAAAGCCCTCACTGTCTAATGGATGCACGGGTTTTTTTTTTTTCCAGTGTACAACTCCTGAACGAATAAACTAATGGCTGAATGAAAAAATAAACGATCCTAGAACCCTAGCAGAAGTGTGTGTTTTTCTTTACGTTTTTAGGGTGGGTGTAGAAGAAAGAAAATAAATGGTAGAGTTTGTGGGTTTTTTACATATA